CGCACGAGCGAACGTGGCCAGGTGGCGACCAGTCTGGGAGCACGTGCAAATCGCCACACGCTGCCGGCCAGGGGTGAAGGTGTCAACCCCCGCATCCTGGAGGACAGCGTTACTCACCAAGTTCGTAGAGAACGAGGGGAGGTGGAGACCAGACAGCTCACCAGACGGGACCGCCGGACACGGAAGCACAGTGGAAGACCTTGAAAGCAGTGGGCCCCCAGAGGGGTCAGCCAGTGAGACAGGAACAGGTGCAGGGAGGGGAGTGACTGTGGTACTGTCGCGAAAGAAACAGCGGGAAGCACTAGAGTCAAGTGTAAAGGTGTGCAAAGCCTGTGCAGGCGCAGTACCAAGGGGAGCAGACTCACAAGCACCTAGTGCTGCAGGGGCTATACCAAGGGTTATACCAGGATCCGGCGGCACACACAAGTAGCAGTCACCCTCAGCACTAACAGACAAGGCATACATAGCAGCAAGAATTGCCTCATAGTCAAGATCAAAGATAGGTACATCACGCCTAAGCAAGTCTGCCCAGTTGGGGAACTCAGTAGCATCAGGAAACCTGGCGCGCCAGGCGTCGCTAAGCCGAGCGAAGCAACACTGCTCAGTGTGAAAACCTGTGCACTGGCGACCAGCGCGGGGACCTGTGCGGATGATATAGGGGCAGCGACCAGGACCCCCAGAAGCCCCACGCCCAGCATACCAGTCAAGAAGCTGCTGGGAAGTGGGGGTCTGGCGCTGACGCTGATGCTGCTGCTGCTGCTGCGGCTGCTGCTGCTGCTGCGGCTGCTGCTGGCCCTGACCACTACTGCCACCACCGCTCCCTCCTCCCCCACCTCCGCTGCTGCCGCCTCCACCGCTCCCAGTGCCTCCGCCGCCCCCACCACCACCTCCACCGCCTCCACCCCCACGACCACCCCCACCACCGCCTCCACCTCCACCACCTCCACCACCTCCACCACCTCCACCCCCACCGCCCCTGCCACCCCTGCCGCCCCTGCCGCTGCGACGCTTCCCACTGGGAGCGGAAGCAGCTCCGACCCCCTCAGCACCAAGGTAGTCGTGAGCAGCAGCTGCGGAGGCGTAGGAGGGGGTGAGAGGGGAGGGGGAGCACCCCTCAAAGAGGGGAGAGCGAGGAGTGCCACGAGCAGCACCTACAGCGAGGATGTTCTTCTCTGCTGCGAGGAGGTGCTTCTCGAAGTCGTCTACAGTGAGAGTGGTGGGGTCTAGCGCTAGGAAGTGGTCCCTGACAGAGCTAAGAGTGTCAGGGAGGCGGGTGACGAGGAAATAGAGAGTGAAGTACATCGTGGGGGGGGTTTGCGGCGCAGAACTCGGTTGAAAGGGCGGCACGAAAGCGAGAGTCAGTAGCGCGCAGGTGAGAAACTAGGTCCTCAGCAGTGGTGAACGAGGAAAGATCGGGGAACAGGTACGGTAGCATGAGTCGACCTATGGCTGCAGTGGCCGGGGAGGAGTAGCGCGCAACTACAGCGTCGTACAGTGTCTGAGCAGTTCTGTGCTGGCTGAAATGCGCTCGCTCAGTAATCGGCAGGTGGTTCCTAATAGCTAGACGTGCAGAAGCATCACGAGTCTGCCACTGGGAGCGTTCTAGAGCAGGAGCATCAGCAGCAGGAGCAACAGCAGAGCCAGTTGGAGATCGTCTAACCATACAGTGAACTCGATGGGACGACCGTCAGGCTCGAACGCTAGAACGTTAGGCGTCGCCATATTGGCTTAAGGCAGGAGGTAGCAGGCAGCAGGCAGCAGGCAGAGGCAGCAGGCACGAAGTAGGAGGCAAGAGGCAGAGGCAGGAGGCAGGGGCAGCAAGCAGCAGGCAGAGGCAGCAGGCACCAAGTAGGAGGCAGGAGGCAGAGGCAGGAGGCAGGGGCAGCAAGCAGCAAGTAGGAGGCAGGAGGCAGAGGCAGGAGGCAGGGGCAGCAAGCAGCAAGTAGGAGGCAGGAGGCAGAGGCAGGAGGCAGGGGCAGCAAGCAGCAGGCAGAGGCAGCAGGCACCAAGTAGGAGGCAGGAGGCAGAGGCAGGAGGCAGGGGCAGCAAGCAGGAGGCAGGCAGGAGGCAAGCTGCAGGCAGGGGGCAGCAGGCAGCAAGTAGGAGGCAGGAGGCAGAGGCAGGAGGCAGGGGCAGCAAGCAGCAAGTAGGAGGCAGGAGGCAGAGGCAGGAGGCAGGGGCAGCAAGCAGCAGGCAGAGGCAGGAGGCAAGCTGCAGGCAGGCGGCAGCAGGCAGCAAGCAGGCAGGCAGGCAGGCGGCAGGCAGGCAGCAAGCAGGCAGGCGAGAGCAGGCAGCAAGTAGCAGGCAGGCAGCAGGTAGGCAGCAGGCAGGTTGCAGACAGGCGGCAGTAGGCAGCAAGTAGGCAGGCAGGTAGGCTGCAGGCAGTAAGCAGGCAGGCTGCAGCAGGCAGGCGGCAGCTGGCAGCAAGCAGGCAGGCAGGCAGGCTGCAGGCAGTAGGCAGGCAGGCGGCAGCAGTCAGGCAGAAGGCAGGCTGCAGACAGGCGGCAGGCAGGCGGCAAGCAGGCAGGCAGGCAGGCTGTAGGCAGCAAGCAGCAGGCAGGCAGCAGGCAGGCAGCAGGCAGGCTGCAGGCAGGCGGCAGCAGGCAGCAAGCAGTAGGTAGGCGGCAGGCAGGAGCGGTAGGCAGCAGGCAGCAGGCAGCGCGGCAGGCAGCAGGCAGCAGGCAGGAGCGGCAGGCAGCAGGCAGCAGGCAAGAGCGGCCTGAGGGCTGCGTGTGGCGGCTTGCTGCACGAGGCTGCAGGCTGCGCGTGGCTACGGGCAGCGCGCGCGGCCGCAGGCTACGCGCGGCGACTGATTGCACGAGATGCGGGCTGCTTGCAGCTGCGGGCTGTGCGTGGCTACAGCGTGCGCGGCTGCATTCTACGTGCGGTTTCGGGCTGCGCTGGGCGCTACGCTACGGGCGACGGGCCGCACGTGCGCGGCTGCGGGCTGGTCGCTACGCTACGGGCTACGCCGGGCGACGGGCCGCTCTGGCGTGGCCTAAACAGGTTTCGCACGGGCGGCTTAAGGGGCGCACAGGCGGGGCCGAAACGGGCTACGCGGGATGCTGAGACGGCGCACGTGGGAAAAAAAAGGACCGCCCCAGGGCGCGCGCGGGCAGCCGAGGCGCGCGTAGGCACTAGGTACGACAGGTAATCGTGGTGGGCCCTAATCGTAGGTCCTATGGACCTATGCTCTATACCATGTCATAATCTTACGGAAAAGTGTGTGTCGACTATCGAGGGAAAAGATACAAAGGAGAAACCAAAGGGGTTGTACCCCACAGTGAGTACCCCACTAAGCCTAACCTAACTATAACAAATATACACATATGTTTGACACCAGCTTGGATGACGACTTGTGCTAAGCCTTGCCATCATCACTTGGAGTGACTTAATGCCTTGAGCTTAGAACCAGTTAAAACCTGAAAACAGATCTTCGCAAGAGGAAGTCGCAACAAACGAATGTTCTCCGTTTGAACACAATATTGTGTCGTAATCAAGCTCTTGATGAGTAGACCCAGAATATGTATTCAGATCTTGAAACTGATAGCGATTAGCTTGGCATTTTGTGAGTTAAAGTTCTCCTAGGAGCCATGGCGGAGAGCTTGGAGCGGAGAGACAGCGGCGGTATCTTTGCTTTGTGGAATAGTAACTGGTACTGTGCTGTGCACCCTGCACTGAATCAGCACTTCAAACTAGAGCAGCCCAAAACAAGCCGGTATATGTAGTGCACTAACCCTGAACTTTGAAGGGCTGGAAGTCGGGCCCATCATTTACAAGTCTATACATATCCTTGGCACATGGGAGCAAGTGGGTGGGGTTTGTTGGAGCGGCTATAACCAGATCAAGTGAACGGCAAAACGGCCAATCCAACCATGCAACTGCGCTCAGTTGGATTTGTTGTCATATTGTGGGTTCGATTGTGTATATGTCCCGGGAACAGCGGGCAACGGAGAGTTTCTCCTGGACTACTTAATGTCAAATTATGAGTACAAATGAGCAGTGGGAACATATGTAATCACGGTACATTATTTTTTTAAGGGACACAAGAGTATACACGCCGAGATAATGGAGATCCAAATAGATGCGGCTATTGATGTGCCTTACTAGCCTTGTAGCTTGACATATTTTACTGCTACTTTCAGAAATGGAACATACAGTATATGTACTTAGCAGCACGTATCCTATGGTCGAGTTATCTCATTTATTCCAAAGCGAGCGAAAATCCACGTGGCAACCGCTTGGACATACTGGCGCTCTGCCGTCGGATTCGGAGGCGGAAGAATATCCTCTATTCAACCAACCAGCAAACATCGGGTTCCTCGATCACACGTCAGGTACACAGCATCCAAAGCACTTTTTCACGAGTGCTGCATCAGGTCATTCAGTTCCTTTGTGCTCATCACCCTACTCAACCGCTTTTCGTTACCCAATAGAATGCATGAAAATTTAAAGAAACGTACAAGACCGCATCCAACCTAGGGCAGGAAAAGATCCGGTCCGAATCTGATCAATTTTTGAAGCCAGGATGCTTTTTTCCCAGAGCCAGCACAGGATCTGAGATTTTTTCTTAGTTCCTAGTTCTCTAAGCCTTCATATCCAGCTTGAAGTTGGCTCCAGTAAGCCCGCATTACGTCGTTCCGGATTGCTCGTCGTCAACATCGTTCTCCAGCGACATAATTCTCAATCATGGCGTTGTGCCTGCGACGAGGCGTTTCTGCTGTCACTGTTTCCGTCGATCTCGCAAGGTACGCTGAAGCGGACATTGTCCACCTTAAACGTTATGCAGCCTTATTGAATCGGAATTCGGGTTACTCACGTTATTTCCTAGGCGTCAACGTCGTGAATTACGACGAAGCGGACACGTAACGCATTGTGTCAGAGCGATCTGTAACCGTATTCACACTGGAGTTTCCAAATCCTGAAACGCGTCATCTCTGCATTGTTCTCTTACTTTCCTGTTCTTAAGCGGTATTTTACTTCAACACGTACGCCTTGTAATGTCTTTTCACGTTCACAAAGTTCATCTGATTATCGTAACTCTTTTCGCTCCATATCCTCCTTCTCACACCAGACATGAGCCTGCCAACCGCCGCTTCTCGTCTCACCAGCGGCTGCATCCCTCAGGAATCTGCAAACCTCACCTGCCAAATCCCCTGAAAAGTCGCCTGACGAGCCACGCGACAGGTCAGCGCACGGCCAGCTGGGTCAGAAATGGTTTCATGACTGAAACGGGGGGTGGAGAGTGGGACGAGGAGGACGAAGAGGAATTCGAGGAAGACGAGTGGTGGAGCATTGGGAAGAGGAAGAGGAGGAGGAGGAGAGGGTGGAAACGGTCCAAGTTCAGGCGAGGTTGTATGAGGACTCTTCAGGATACAGCGAAGGGGATGAGCATGAGGCCAAGTCTCATGCGGCGCATCAGGCGGAGGAAGAGAAGAAACAGGAGAGCCAGCAGCAGCAGCCGCTGCAGTGGTTAGCGGAAGGAGCCGCTGCTGTGCTGAAGGGGGCTGTGGAGGGGGGTGTTGTGGCTGCTGCGGTGGGGGCTGTGCTGGAGGCGAGTCAGCCCGCGGAGGAGCATTCGGATTTGGACGCGCGGGAGAAGGGCGAGGAGTATTCCGCTACCATGCAGGTGGCCATGGGGAACACAGGTGCGTGTTTAGCCTGATGTGCTGGAGGCGAGTCAGTCCGCAGAGGAGCATTCGGAGAGTGATGCGCGGGAGAAGGGCGAGGAGTATTCCGCCACCATGCAGGTGGCCATTGGGAACACAGGTGGGTGTGTGTGGTCATCGCACCTCGTCCTCACCCCTCCCTGTCCTCCTCTGTCCCTGCGCGTGTGCCCTGTCACGCTCAAACATCCCTTCCAGCGCTGATCTACTGCCACGAGCCACGAGCAGAGTCCACTCAGAAACAGACTCATCACTCGCGTGTGCCCTGTCACACTCCAACATCCCTTCCAGCGCTGGTCCACCCGCCACAAGCTGCGCATGAATTATGACTGGGTCACACTTACTCCTCCCCTCCTTTTTCTCTCTCTGCGCATGTTCGCTCTGATCTGATCTGATTGTGCCTCCCAGCGCTGGTGTACCGTCACGAGCTGGGCATGAATTATGCGCGCGTGCTGCCCAATCTCATCGTCGGCTCCTGCCTGCAGGCGAGTGCCCTTGCTTGCCGCCTCTTCTACTACCTTACCTCTCTTTCCGTTACTACCTTTATTCTCCCGCTTTTTCCTTTACTCTCTGTCCTCTCCCCCCGTTTCTCCCTCCATGTATCTATTTTCAGCTACCTCATGGTCTGTTCTCTCCACATTGATAATCCTTTCCACTTAACTCTCTCGGCTACCTATCTCACTGCCTGTGCGTTCCCTATCTTATCACACCCCTCGCTCTCCCTCTGCTCTGGACCCGCCTCATAGGAGCTTCCTAGAAACCATGCCCTCACTCTCCCTTAGCCTAGTCGCTTTAGTTATCCACACCACCCTGCCACCAATCCCCACTGGGCTTGCACCCTTTATAAGCCGCCTTTCTGCCTCTACTGCACTCCCATTTATCCTGCCAACTGGTACAGTCCCCATTGGATCTCGATCACCTGCGAGACGTGGAGGGCGTGGGGGCGGTGCAGTGCCTGCAGCGCGACTCTGACCTTGAGTGAGTGGTGTGTCAATTCATGAGCCATACTGAGCTGAGAGAGTACGAATGGGACCTGGATGATCTGCGGGATGTGGAGGGCGTGGGGGCGGTGCAGTGCCTGCAGCGCGACTCTGACCTTGAGTGAGTGGTGTGTCAGTTCACGAGTCATTGCGGGATGTGGCGGGAGTGGGGGCGGTTCAGTGCCTGCAGCGCGACTCTGACCTCGAGTGAGTGGTGTTGAGCGGGCCTTTGAGTCAACTCTAAAGTGGCTTCAAAACACCTGTGTGGCTCTAAAACACCTGTAGGATGTGAACGGCGTGGGGGCGGTGCAGTTCCTGCAACGCAGATCTGACCTTGAGTGAATGGCGTTGAGAGAGGATCCGCTGGATGAGACGTCTATTGTCAAGTCAGGAAATGTCTAGCCGACTTAGAGGTCGTATTCAGCCAATGTAGAAGTCAGATTCAGTAAAGGCATGGTTCTTTCTTGGTGGAACTTAAAAAGGTGATTCTGGGTCACTCCATCAGTCATATTTAGTATATCAACAGATAAATGTGATTCTGGGTCACTCCATTAGTCATATTTAGTACATCAACAGATAAAAGTGATTCTGGGTCACTCCATGCCATTCACAACAGATAGTTCACCCTGTGCTTGCACACGTACTATTCCCCAACAGGTACTTTGATCTGGATATCAACCCGATCATCGAGCGGGCGGCAGAGCGTGGCGACATTCGGCACTTGTGGACTGAGATCAGGGACTTTGACCCCTTTGACCTGCGCATGCAGCTGCCGAGGGCTGTAGCAGCGCTGCACAAGGCAGTGATGGAGTGTGGCACGGCGTACGTGCACTGCACTGCCGGTCTCGGCAGGGCCCCGGCTGTAGCGGTGAGTCCGGCTGTAGCGCTGAGTCCGGCTGTAGCGCTGAGTCCCGCCTGTAGCACGAGCCTAGTCACAGCCATCGCAGCCTCTATCTTGCCACCGTCAATCCCTCACACCATCAAGCGTTTAATCCTTCAACCCAGGCGGGCAGGTTGTTATGATTGCCATCTCACCTCACCTCGCGCCTTCTGCCTCTCCTCCCTCTCTACTCCTATCCCTATCTCTGCGCCTCACCCCCCTGTCTGCTCCACTCCCCCTATAGGCTCCTCTCTCCCTTCTGTGCTCCTTTTCCCTTCCACTCCTCTCCCCATCCGTTCTTTTCCCTCCTACGCCTCCTCTCTCCTCGCCTTTCTGCTTCCCCCCACCTCAATGCTCCCCTCCCTACCCCCCCACCTCAATGCTCCCCTCCCTCCCCCCCCACCTCAATGCTCCCCTCCCTCCCCCCCCACCTCAATGCTCCCCTCCCTCCCCCTCCACCCAATTCCCTCCCCGCCCTAACTAACTCTCTCACAGCTCGCCTATATGTGGTGGATGCGCGACCTTCAACTGGAAGAAGCAAATGAGATTCTCCAGGTACGTGTGTGGGAGGGCGGGAATGGTGGTGGAGAGGAGGCATTTGGCAAGGGTGGAGGAAATATTAATGAGCAATGTAGGGGAGAGTAGACGTGTCACCTAAATGTTCACCAGATGTGATTCTTCCGTGTTCCAAAATGTTGATCCATATCAGATCCATGTTCATCCATGTCAGTCGTATTAATTGTCATGCCTGTTCTGTCTTCCTGTGTGCCTTTGAGATCAGAAAGTCCGTCCGTGTTCATCCGTGTCAGTCGTATTAATTGTCATGTCCGTTCTGTCTCCCTGTGTGCCCTTGAGAGCAGAAAGTCCGTCCCTGTGGGCCCAAGCTGTTCGCCATTCGAGCGGCTGCATGCGATCTGGTGAGCTACACATGCTACATTAATCCTAACCGACATGCCTTATAAACGCCACATCCTAACCGACATGCCTTATAAACGCCACATCCTAACCGACATGCCTTATACACGCCACATCCTAACCGACATGCCTTATAAACGCCACATCCTAACCGACATGCCTTATAAACGCCACATCCTAACTGACATGCCTTATAAACGCTACATCCTAATCAGCATGCCTTATAAACGCCACTTCCTAACTGACATGCCTTATAAACGCCACATCCTAACTGACATGCCTTATAAACGCTACATCCTAATCAGCATGCCTTATAAACGCCACTTCCTAACTGACATGCCTTATAAACGCTACATCCTAATCAGCATGCCTTATAAACGCCACATCCTAACTGACATGCCTTATAAACGCTACATCCTAATCAGCATGCCTTATAAACGCCACTTCCTAACTGACATGCCTTATAAACGCCACATCCTAATCAGCATGCCTTGTAAACGCTACATAGGCCCTGTTATAAGCAACAGATGGCTTCTTCTTCTACCCGCCTCGTACGATCGACAACCAACCATCTTGGGCCTGGAGGGGAACATCACACACCAAGTCCTTTTTTATCAATCACCATAGCAACAGTGAGGAATGAAACAAACCGACAGACGTGGCAGTGACAGATGACCGTGTTTGAGTTGACATTTGACTCCACAGATGACCAGCAACTCCCTTTGAGCAATTGGAGATCTGGAGGAACCCGAACAAACTTCCAGAGATGGCAGGTGGTGTTGAGTTGAGTTCTGACTTGCGCACAACACAATGCTTCTCTCCTTTTCTAACTGTGTTCCCTCCTCACAGCTGACCGGCAACCCCCTTGAGCAACTGGAGATTAACTGGAGGAACCCCGGAGTCAATGAGACGGTGGAGGTGGCAGGCAGGTGGTGTTTGAGCTATATTTTAACTTAACCACAATGTTTCTCTCTCCGTTTTGGACTGTGTTTCCTCCTCACAGCTGACCGGCAACCCCCTTGAGCAAGTGGAGATCAACTGGAGGAACCGAGGAGTCAATGAGACGGTGGAGGTGGCGGGCCTGGACGTGGGCTGGCACCATGTGAGTGGTTGGTGTTTTTGGCCACGTGGCACCATGTGAGTGGGTGGTGATTTTGGCAACGTGAGAAATTCTGCCATGTGGTACCATGTGAGTGGGTAGTGATGATTTTGTTATGTCATGCTATATGTGTCCACCTTGTGCCATGCTGGCATGCTATTGGCTGGTATTTGCCGTGTGCCTTCTGCCACTCCGTAAGTGGCTGGGGGGATGATTGTACACCTGGTGTGATGTGGGCGGATCCGTTGGTGGGCATGGTGCACTTGTAACTCGTTTGTTATCCGTATTCCCTTCCCTCCAGGAACCTATCTATTCGGTCACTTCGTTCTCTATCTCACAACGCCATGCTTCTTTCTTTTCCCGTCCTCCAGCTCTCAACAACACCATTCTTCCCTCCAACCCCCCACCCCACTACGGCCCCCTATCATCTTCCTCCCAGCGCCTGCCATTGACTCGTGAGCCGGCGTCCAACACATGGACACTCACGAGAGAGCTGCCGGTACGTTTTAAATTCAGTTTTTCACTTGCATGTAAATTCCAGCTTGAGCTGTTCGGGTGCTGCATTTAGTACATACATGTGTTTGGATGTGGCCAATAAATGGTGGCAGCAGCCGGTTGCTGATACATGGAAACGTTTCAACACTGTTTCTCGTGTGCATCTCTTTGTGTGGTTTTGTTTTTGTTATCTGTTCTGAGGTTTGCAGATTGGCACATACTATTACAAGCACATCGTGAACGGCACACACTGGTCATACAACCCCGATGCGCCTCTCACTTTACCTGATCGTGACTACAATGTCAACAACTATATTGAGGTATGGCATTGTTCCCTGAGGAACAATTTCTTGGATTGAAATGGTATCACTCTAGTTGGCCTTAATTTTGTGATTATATGGTTGCATGCCCAAGTTTGCAACAACTGAGCTCACGGTTCACCATTCTCAAACCCTCTCTGTCATTTTCATTTGTAACAGGTTGTGGGCTCTTCGCTTGACCCAGCAGCACGTGATCTGCGGAAGAGGATCATGCAGGAAGGGGCCCCCTTAACCCTTGAAGATAGAGCAGCAGTGGTCGCCAAGATAGTTGAGATTGCAGGGACTTTGTAGGTTGTTGAAAGGTTAGCTTCCTTGAGTTCACCTTGGCCATACAAACCTGGAGAATTAGTTACACTAGTGCAATGTTACTGCCACAGTTCCCCCCTGGTTCTCAGTATTGCTCTGGTGTAACCATCACCTGCAACAAATCAGCCAAGCATCCCACTAGTACCGTAGCTGCACACACAATGTGCAATATGCAACGATGGTAACAGCAGTTAAAATGAAAACGGTACCTAACATACCATATATCAGCTAAGCGCTAGCGGGTAATGGGTTACCGGTAACTCGTGGCAGCTCATGAAACAGCAACAGCAAGAATGCGGCCGTGGAGATGTCTCTGTGCCCTACTCTTCGTCATCAGTGATTGTATCGAAGGAAAATGGTAGGAACTTGTACCCATCTCCAGTGTAGAACTTGTTCATGAACTCGACCCAGTGCAGACGGAGTGCATGGAGGAAGGCACTGAGAGTCTCCATGAGTAGAAGCACACCAACGGTTGCTGATGCAAAGACAAAGAAGCCAATGATAATGAAGATGATGTTTCCAGACCTGCAAGGATAAGGAACGTCAAGATGAGACTGAGGTGTTTTGCCGAGCAAAATACCAGAAAGAGAAGCAAGGCGCAGTGGTGATTCGGACAAGTGGACAGACAAATGGCAACTTACTCAAATGCTGGAAGCAGCACTCGCTCAAAGAAGACAGCCGAAAGCTCCGCATGCGCCAAGCTGTTTCCGTGAGTGAAGGTGACAAAAAAACAAGAGAAATTGATTGGAGAATCAGGTGAAAGGAGCCTCAAATTCCAACCAACATAATGTAAACGTCTGAGATGACTTCAGAAATAAAAAAACATGTCCAAAAGGGTGGACGGAAAGCACACCTGAGAGCCCAGAGACGCAGGTAGGAGGCCGTGTTGGAGACGGCGCCCAGCACAAACTCAATGGTGTGAATCATCTGATGCACCATCACCTCCCCGAAGTCAAACTCCTCCTCATGATGATGATGGTGCAATTGGCCCTCCTCTCCTGGGTGCAATGCCTCCATCTCATACAGTTCATTGTCTGAGTTCAGTGCTGCATACGCTCGCCCCTGACGCTTCTTTATGCAGGGCATGGATGCAGGGTGAGAATGACATGAAGGGGGAAGGAGGGAGAGGGAAGACAAGAAAGTCAGGATCGCAAAGTCCAGGCATTGACTTGCTTTCTCAGAAGTAAGTGACGGGAGCAGCAAAAGAAGACTGTAGCTTTCACAAATCTGTGTTGCAGGTGAAGCGGTCAGGTGAGACGAACAGCAGCTTTAGCAGCTGACTCACCTTAATGTGCTCAGCACGTAGAATCAGAGGTTTTGGAAAAAGCATCCATGGAACCGAGATGAGAGCAATAAGCAGCAAAACGATCTGCAAAGCAAACAACGAATGCAGAGGCGCAATAATCAGTAGAATATATCATTAACGTAAATTATCAAGCTTGCTATGCCAAGAGAAGTGATGTGACCAGACCTGAAAATCGGTGAACTGACCTGGAGTGTTCCTTGCCCCCAAAAGAGCTCGTTCTCTCCCAGTGGCTCAGTGGGGTTGAGGAACATGTAGATCATGACATGGTAGAGATCAGCTTGGGAGGCTGTGACCCACTTGACTATTATGAGCAGCGAGAGATAGCCGAACAAAGAAGCCAAGAATAGGACCTGTGGGATGAACTCGTACCTACACGTCGAGGAGACACAGATACAAGAAGATGGATGAGAGTGAAGGCACAAGAATAAAGACACACCAAGGGAAACGAGCATGCACAGAAGCAGGAAAAGTCTCGTTCGAAACATAATGAACTCGGAAAGTGTGTGAAGCACCCACCAAATGTTGAGTGGCAGGTCAAAGAAGAGGGCGTTGCAGAGGCTGAGAGCAAGGCCCAGAAACATGTGAGTGACTCCCAGCACAATGCTCATCTTCATCTTGAGAGAGTTCAAGAAGGGAAGCTCTGTGCGAGAGCCCTTCCACCGAGGGTCCACTCCAAAAAGGTACGTGTTGCCTGTCTTCACCAAACCAGTAGAGGCTGCATCACTGAGCGAATTGGAAGGGGAAGTGAGGAAAGGAAAATCGTGGTGAGAGAAGGAAGGAGGGTGGACAAGAATTTTGAGGGGCACAGATAAAGATGAAGAGGAGTGGAGAGTAAGTCAGGCACCATGAATAAGAATGGAAGCGTGCCATGGCACAAGTAAAGAAAAAGAAAGAAATTGTTTGAACTGCAGGAAAGAATTGCCAAGAGAAAATATGGGTGACTGTACCCGCAGTCTGGGGTGCGACAAGTGTATGCCGAGCCACCAAATATGGCAAAATCGAAGGCGACAGCAAAGAACTCGTTGTAAACGAAGCCAGTGTAGATGGAGAAAATAGACATAAGCAGGATGAGGTAGCGGCCTCCATACACCATCTCCATAATGTCACCAAGTTTCTGCAGGACGAGATTGAAATCCGGTTAACAGGCAATGGAATTCGTTAACAGCACGGTCCATGTCCTTGTCTAAAAGGTTTGGACGAACACGAAAACACATTTCCAATGATCACCTGGGAGCCCAACTTCCTCTCGTTCTTGACAAGCCAAAGGGATGCAAGGAGCATCAGGATGCCATGACCCCAGTCACCAAACATGACAGCAAAGAGGAATGGAAAGGTGATGATGGTGAAAACCCCAGGGTTGGCCTCCCGGTATCGTGCCATGCTGCCACAACAGAAAAAAGGGGATGAAGCAAGAAGAATAAGCAGTGCTCCTAACAGTGATTTTCACAAATCAGGGTCTTCTCGTTTGAAAGAAGAAATACTTACCCGTAGGCGTCGATGATCCCTTGAAAAGCACCAGTGAACTTGTTGGTCTTAAAGTATGTCGGAGGGGACTCGCCAGACCGAATCGTCTGAAAGATAGTACCCACATCTGCCTTGCTCATGGTCACTGCACGATGAAGAGCATCTTGAATCTGCAAATTGGCATGCAAGTCAGTTTTGACATTAACATTTTTATATAGTGTCATGTGGTTCTCCTGACTGCTCTGAAATCCAAATCATGATCAACTATCTAGCGATGCTCATCATCAGCCATACCTCTGACTTCGCATACACCGGGCACCATGCCTCAGCCAAAAGGCACTTGCGAGTGACGTCAATGGACAGCTGGTTCAATATGTGGTATATAGCCTTTTCCCTCCGAACCTGCTCATGCATTATTAACGCTTTGTGTCAGCTTACAAAACAAGGGGAAACAGGATTATTGATGCACAGTTGATAGTGGTGGCGAAAAACAGGGAGCACTGCTATGGTTCCGTACCAGGCTTGCCCAGTTTTCGATCTGGTAGCTTATGTTGTTCAGCAAACTATCTCTGTGTCTGTTGCCTGCATCAATGGTGGTCTGCAACTCTGATAACCGTGCAATCACCTGCCATTCAAAAAGGCTATTCAGACTATGACTACGGGGAGATTGGGACCACGAGTAGATGAACAAGGAAAAACTGGCAGACAGAAGCTGGTTTGGGGATTTTTCTGAGCTCACCTCAGAATGCATTTGCCTCTGTTTCTGTGGGTCCTCTGGAAACGGGTAACGATTTGCACCAAATGCCTCACAGATTTTCATGATCTTGGTCCGAGCTCGCTCACCGGCAAAGAAAACAACGAAGACCACCTTCTCCACCTGTAAACAGAAGCCACATGTTAATGCCAGTTGCACCTGAAAGACTACTCTCAGCATATGGAAGAGACTCATACTTCTTCTCCTGTTGCAGGATCCACTACTGGCTCGTCAAGCTCCTCCTGCTTAAGGTACATGTTTCCACGAGTTGCTCGAAACAAAATCCTCTCAAATGTTGCAGCCTTGACCTTAGGGACAAGCCCTGTGACGAATCCAAGGCGCATCTGCTTGCCAGGTTCTGAGACCATTTCCTGCAAAGTAAACCAGAGTCAAGCATGCTTGCAATCAGAGCTTCTGCGAGAACGAAATCGGCTACCTGTGGAAGAGACTGCTCAAGCGAACTCGTGTGACCAGTATCATGTACCACCTGCTCCAATAAGAGTGCAGTGTCAGACGTTATTTCCCGGCCCGAGCTTGCTTCTTCAAACTCCCTCTGGTGGACAGCAGCATCCATCTGTTCCAAACAAGAAACACGGTTAGCATGAGGAGGTTTAACAGCCTCAACTTCAGTGCGAAAAGTCATACAACGAACAGAATGATCAGTTCCAGGTGTAACGAAATATATACCTTTTCAAGGACGAGCTGCAATTCATTCAGCTCATTCCGGCTTCGTAGAAGCTTCTCAGCGTTGGCATTTATCTCCAGTAACTCCGCCTCCAGCTCCGCCAATTTGACCTGCATAGAAGGTCATCACAAGATATCAGATTAACCGATTCTAACAGAGGGAATGGAGCGCCAATCCCGCGATCTTAGCCATTGTCAGGCAATCGTTGAAACGACGCGTCATAATTGCGCAGTCATACGCCGATATGCATGTTTATTATACCTCCAGGTCGTCTAGGTCGAAATCCTTGTCCAGCGGTGCTGGACTACTGGGTAAAATTCCAGCCTTCACGGACTGATCCTTGAAATAACGAAGCTTTCGTGCCATTTCCCCGCATCGCTTAACCTGTACGCCGTCATTGACGCATCAAGAGACGATAAGAGTGCTACACGGTTGATCTCGTTCAAAACGTGAAGCGAAACCCGCGGTCCAGTAGAGTTTCACACAAAGCATGGCGGGAGCTACTGCAATCGAAGAGCGTTTAGAGTACTCTACCTGATTTGCATAGGTTCGCTGAAATGGGCTTTTGTCCGGATTTAACTGCATAGTGACAATTTCTGAGAGGATTAAGGTCGAATGTTACAGTTGAATTCTACGAATAATGGGAAAGGAACCCCATCAATCGAGCAATGGCTTCGATTCAATAGTTATGCAGATACCTACATCCTTAAACTGCAGTAGACCGAGCTCCCCAAGATGAGCGACGGTGTTATGTGCAGCTTCGGCAGGAATGATTAGCTGCACTAACTGCATCTCCTCGGACCTGAAAAGGTCCATTGGCGTGTCTGGAAACATGGCTACGCTCAACAAACGCCGGAGCCTACACCACAGTAGCCAAAGCTTCCTTCTGAGCTTGAACCTGAATTTCGACACGATGACAAGCTCGAAGCCTCTAGAGGCCTACACACATTCCACCAAACGGCATTGCGATCAAAACTCTTCAATCAGTCCCTCGAGCACCCGCAATTCGTGTTTCAGCAACAGCCAGCGAGCAAGCAGCTTGAATCAGTATGAAATCTAGGTCAGGCCTGTTGGAACCAGGGAAGGAAGGTTGCTGGTGAGAAGTTGGTTTGCTGCTGTGAAGCTCCGAGATTTGGTAGACAAATACATTCCTCGGTTCTGAGCGGTGGCGGCGAAGCAGAGCCGAGCAAATGACACCGCCTCCAAGCCACGGAAATGGTTTCAGGTGAACGACAGAACTCTTCGCGCAGCAAATTGAGCGAAACCGCCACGCCAGCAGGAAGACGCCTCAGAGGCTTGGCGAAAGGAGGCTAAAAAGTTGTGACGCATAGCAACTTTCGCTGGGCTACTTGCGAACGCCAGTCATGAAAGTGACGTGGGCGAACCAATCACAAGCCGAATACTCAAATGTAACGACTAATTGTAGAAACCAGCACTACTACTCCAACCATAATAAACAAACATAGAACTTCCTACTTGCTGAAACATTAGGACATTGCCACTTTCTTCGCCTTCTGGCACACTACACAATGCAATTGCTCGTCACCATCCCCTCCATCTATCGTCGTTTCCTCTCGCTCGGGCCAAACCTTCGGCTTATCCAACCTTCGATCCAAGAGGCTGCTCCCGGGGCTACTCTTAATCTCTTCTGCTGAACCTGTATTTGAATCTCTGGTTCCAGCCTTCTCAGTGCTGTCCATTGGCTTCTCAGCCTGTCGTGCATTTTTTCCTTCCATCTTAGCCCCTCCCGTCTCACCATAACTCCCAATTCCTCCCAGCTTCAATGCCACCTCCAAACATGGCACGTGGTACGCATGCGTGCAGAAAAAACAAGCAATCTCCTGCTGGTGCAGATGCAGCGCATCCAGACACAAGCTGCACCGGGGAGCACCCCCACCAAGAAGCTCCTGCTCTTCAACCTCCCTCCTCTTCCACTTGTAGTTCCCCTTCCTGCCCCCTTGCCTTCCCTCCAACAGCCCTACTTCCCCTCTCCGCACATCACCCTCACCCACACCTTCCTCCCTCCCTCTTCGCACTTCACTTCCTGCCCGTCTCAACCCCTCCATCGCCACACTCCCCCCACTCTCCCCTTCAAATACCTCACTCCAGGCTCTAAGCAGCCCTCCTCTCCCTCTCTCCCCCGCCCCCTTTTTTCCAACATCAACCTTGTTACCACCTGTTCTGATATCATCCCTGTAACCCTCACCAGCTTCAACAGCAATTGTTGTTATTTTCAGCCCTCCAGATGCAGGGAAGAGTAGGGCAGACGACCACTGCTCACTCCACATAACCTCATCCTCCTCTTCCTCCCCATCACTATCTCTCTCCTCATCCTCGTCCTCATCCTCATCCTCTTCCTCTTCCTCTGCTTGAGATATAGAGGGAAGAAAACTGTCAGAACCAACAGCTCCTTGCAGCCCATTCAATCTCCCCCCTCCTCCTCCCCTTCTCACGGCTCTCTCCACGCCTCCTCTCTCCTTTATCCTTCCATGATCACAAGCTTCCCCCATTTCCAGCTGTCGAAACGCCAGAGCCACAGCTCTCGCCTCTTCTTTCTCCTTCCTCCTCCTCTCCGTCTCCTCCCTCTCCTCACTCCCCGTCTTGCCCTCCTCCTGTCCTGCCCTCCCCACCAAATCGCTCCCACCACCTTCGATACCCCTGCCAGCAGTTTCTCCCATAAACGCCTTCCTTCGAAACGGCTTGCGGGAATACAGGCTGAGAAGTGACGTCCCAGCTACTCCACCACAAAACAACCCAGAGGTGGCCTGAGAAGAAGTATATGGAGAAATCAGCGTGCTTGTTGCTGTTGCAGTGGAAGATGGTAGGGGGAGAAGGGGAAGGTGGCGTGGTGCAGCGGAGGTGGAGGAGAAGCGGGCGGCGAATTGCGATTGGAGGATGAAGAGGAAGAGGAGGTCGATGCACTCGGATTGCAAGAGGGCAATGCAGCCCTGGCGGAGAGACACCTCTGTTGCTGACGCTGCCAGTACTGCCAGCAGATGCTGCCGCAACCTGCAGAATACACGGGAGGGAGAAGAGTATAACAAGAGGATGAAGAGGGCAAGGAGGGCGAGGATGAAGAGGGCAAGAGCAACTGCTGCATAAAGGCAATGCAATCTTGGCTCTTGCTCTGTTGCTCCGTAGAGACACCTCTGTTGCTGACGCTACCAGCATTGCCAGCAGAAGTGTCATCTAACCTGACTGAAGACAAAGTAAAGTGCTCAACGTACTCTTTTAGGTAAGTGTTTGGCGAGACTCCAGCAAGCAGCTGCTTGGGAGAGAAAATGTCCGTGGCTTGCTCCATGAGCGCTGCCACCTGGGAGCAGAGATCAGCACGGTTTAGAGATTGAATCGAGTGTGCTTGTAGAGGTGACAAGGATGAATGATTGGACTGAGGCTGCTTGGAGCACGAAGCACGAACAGGTGGAGTAAAGGGAGGAACTGAGTTGTGTGGGACAGATGAATCGATTGTGGGACCAATGACGTTGATAGAAAACGGGGGATTCGCAAAGTTGGACAGGTTCTGGGACGTGTGGGCATACCAAGCGCGGGTTTGTAGCAGATCGTTTCAGGAGGAAATTCCACACGTACTGTTCTTTCACCTCTCTGGCCAGTATTATTGCCTGGTAGACGCTAGGTGAGGAGATGATTCAGGAAGAAAGGGAGAAACTGAGGAAGAGGTAGTGCCAGTGGCAACACATTTCAAGTGGCTTGAGTCAGCCTAGCAGGAGCGATAGTGCTTCATTACAACAACCCATGCAAGTTTGCAGAGGCAGGAATGCTGGCGATGGGAGAGAGGCAAGGAAGGGGAGGCAGGCAAGCGAGGGGAGAGCGGCCAAGATCAACTCACCAGGTTCACGACTTTGAGTTGGTCTAGCAGGAGCGATGGCGCTTCTTTATGTTCACCCATTCGGGTGAGCAGAAACAAGTGTGCCAGCGAGCGGCAAGGCAAGTGAGGGGAGAGAGGCAGGAATAGCTCACCCGGTTGACATCCTTGAGTCGGTCTAGCAGGAGTGATAGCGCTTCTTTGTAATCCCCCATGCGGGTGAGCAGAAACACCTGCTCCTCCACCAGGCCCCGTTGCACGCACAGGTTCAGAGCCTGGAGGAAGGGACATATACCAGGTGGCTTGAGGTTTGCTGGCATGGGAGTGAGTAAGCAGGAAAACTGGCTCCTCCACGAGGCCCATTCAGGGCCTCGACTGGAAGAGAGCGGCTAGGGGAACGGTAGCAAACAAGCAGTTCCGAGGTCAGATTGAGGCGAAACACCTGCCGTGCAAAGGATAGTGCTCTGTTCTGTGCCACACGTGTCTTGCTGTTGAGAGAGTTCTCATGCCTTGTGTTGCACACATCTTGTGCTAATCACTCACTTAAGAGGATAACATGAGGTGCCACTCACGTCTTGCAGGGGGTAGTGGTCGGATGACTGCAGGAAGGGCAGCAGCAGGCGGCAGTCGAAGTCTGCATACAACTCAACCTGCAGGCGGATGGGAAGAGCAGGACGAGACAGCAACTTAGCAACCAGGAAGCGTTTTGTAAGGTGTGGGATAATTGGGGGGTAAAAAAAATGCTAGCAGCAGTGGAACCTAATGAGAACGAGCCTCTTAGAGAAATAGTTGCCTTGCCTCCAAACAGACCTGCATGGGATGAAACGCTGATGCCACCTCTGGCATTCGCTCAAACACCTCACGCAGGTAGCAGTGAAGCGCCATCCGCCTCTCTCTCCCCGTCAGCAGCGCTTCACTCCCTCCATCTCCACCCTCATGCACTGTTCCATCCACCAGCGCTGCCGCCGAACCACGCGGCGACAGCTGGCGCGCAGCGGCCGGCTCGGGCGGCCCAAGCATGGGCGGCGAGTCGACGTCCAGCAGCTGGCGGACGACGGTTTCGGGCGGCACGACAGCAATGTGGTCGGCGAGGAGGGCGGCGGCACGGTGCGGGTGGATGAGGAAGAGGGAGGGGAGGCGGTGATGGTGGTCCGGGGCGGGAGAGAGGAGGTGGCGCACGAGCCTGTGCTCACGAATAAACTCAAAAACATCAGGTCCCGGCCATTTTGCACTTGTTATTGACTCGCTAGGGAATGAGAGATTGGATTCTTGCACTGGGTATCGGCGGTGGTCTACCGAGGATGGACCGGCAGCCCTTGTATGGATGCTGTGTTTGTGAGCTGTCTCTCTGCCTGCCGCGTCTTTGCCTGCTATCCTGCCATTAACAGGTGCTTTCACTGGTGAATGCAACTGTTCTCCATCCACGTCAGCATGGCTTGTCACACGCCCTTGGAAACCCCCATCCACGTCAGCAGCAGCAAGCGCCTGAGCATGTTCACCAATGTGTCCATCGAAATCCGTTAGCTGAGTAGCAGCGCTGGAATCAGTGTGGTGTGCCCTGTGCTGCGCCACCAGAATCCGCAAATAGACGTCCAGAGCCTCGATGAAGTCCCTGTTGCGCACATAGAGACCCGCCAGGAGCTGATGGGGGGAAAGGAGCATACGAGGAGAAAGAGGAATCCGTTAGCCCAGTCACCCAGTGGTAGCACTAGAATCAGTGTGGTGTGCCCTGTGCTGTGCCACCAGAATGCGCAAGTACAAGTCCAGAGCCTCGATGAAGTCCCTGTTGCGCACATAGAGACCCGCCAGGAGCTGATGGGGGGAAAGGAGCACACGAGGAGAAAGAGGAATCCGTTAGCCCAGTCACCCAGTGGTAGCACTAGAATCAGTGTGGTGTGCCCTGTGCTGTGCCACCAGAATGCGCAAGTACAAGTCCAGAGCCTCGATGAAGTCCCTGTTGCGCACATAGAGACCCGCCAGGAGCTGATGGGGGGAATGGGAGGAAAAATGGGGTCAAAGGATTGGAATCGGTGGTGCCATGCTGCAACAGGCGCCCTTCAGCGGCAGCAATGACGGCTCCCAGGTTGTAGAGGGCAGACGGCCAGCGAGCCACAGTGGGGAGCAAATAAAGGACCAATGGGTGATACAGTGTGTGCGCGCATCCACCCACCCACCTGGAGCTGCACGGCAGTGCCCTGCTGCAGTAGGCGCTTCTCCGCAGCAGCAAGGACGGCCCCGAGGTTGTAGAGGGCAGATGGCCAGCAAGTTAATGTGGGTCAAAATATAGGATCGATTGGTGGTAGTACGGTGGGTACGCCCACCCGCCTACCCACCCACCTGCAGCTGTATGGCAGTGCCCTGCTGCAGCAGGCGCTTCTCCGCAACAGCAATGACGGCCCCCAGGTTGTAGAGAGCTGGCGGCCAGCGGGCTAGTGTGGGAGGCAGCTGGCGGTTGTAGGAGGAGTGCGGGGAGACGAGCAGCTCCACTAGCACGCCCTGGAAAAGGGAAGGGTGGGGAGAGGGGGGAGGGAATAAAAGAGGTTGCGTGATTAAGCCTGCACCATTTCATCATGAAGACGCGCAGGAGCATAATGCTGAGGGAAAGAACTATATGAGACAGTGCGATACCTCGTAGATGGTTGGATTGAGCTTAGGGTTGGAAATAGGGACGTAGGGCAGCAGAGTATGCAACTGCTGCAGCCGAGAAAAGTTGCCAATCAACCTGATGGGTCATGGAAGGGATGAATAAGGCATTACCCCAAACAGCACAGAAAAGAAACGCGAACGGCATGGGTTAGTCCAATTGAAGTCATGGTACAGTAATGTGAGATCGGCCTATCACGCAAATGTAACAAACGATCACCATTTACAGCTGAATCGTATCCCGGATGGGTCACTTCCGTGGGAGGGACCTCTCATCATCGCCTATCCTGCCGTCTCTCACCATTGCCATGAGGTTTCGGAGTTCCCAAGGGCCGAGGGGCACAGCGCTGCAGCTTCCGCGAAGCGACCGTTCATTAGAAGGTGGTCCAGGTGCCGCTCCCGACCCTGCCACGTGGCGGACGATCAGAGATTGGTGTGCAAGGGACAACATGGAGAGGACAGCTGGTTGAAAACGAGAAAAACGAGGTGACTTTTGGGCATGAAGATCGACTGGAAAGCTTCTGGTGAGGAAAAACGAGAAACTGGGAGGGTGGCGGGCGTGAGTGCAACCACGCAATGAGCGACGAGTGTTTCACGCATTGTTAGAACAGACACACGCAGAATACTGAAAATCTCAATAGAAACCGTTAACGTCAAGACGGCAACACAATGCATGCAAGCAACGCTGAAACGGATTAGTCAGAAACAACGGACGATGAACTCTTCTAATTATCACACCGCGAAAGCAGAAGGCGTACCAGGAACCTCTGAAGCATCTGCATTGCTCCTGTGGCTTCAGCAAAGGCACGCTCGACACACGAACAAGGAGTGCCCTTCACGAGCGGAATGAAACGACACGACGCGACGCGAAGTAGGAATCATTAGATTAAAGATATTGTCACTGATACTACCTTAGACTCGTTTTCCAGAATTCCAACCGACTGAATGTTCAAGACGCATCGACCGTACATGCGAGGAACGACGGTCAAAATGGTCGGTAATCAAGTTCGACAGCAGAACTGTCAACTATGAGGGATACGTCAGAAGATGACTACCACGCGTGAGTGTGCGGTGTGCATGTAGCCGCGTCGCCGCGAGACTTGTTAGTTTCCTGACACGTACTAATTTATGGTAGAGTGAAGGAGCACAAGTGATCAGGAGCAAGGGTTGCTTGTTCGTGTACTACAGTACAAACACATAACTTCTGTCTACAATGTATGACCAGTATTATCTTTTACTGGTATCATTAGTACCGTATATTCAAGTTTTTGCCTTGGATTATCAGACGTTTTTGTAACATTATTGTGTTGATCGAAGAGGGGAGACGGGGATGGGGGTGGGGTCAAACATGAGACGGAAGAGGGACGAACTGGAGGGGTAGACAGGAGAGAGGAGACAGGCGGACCACAGATGCATAATTGATTGGTCCTGCGATGCACATGGTAGTTCATTGAGTGAGTGATCATACTATGAACTAGGCAGCAACTTTAGTCTGGCCTGACTTCAATAGACTTCCTATTGTCAAGGGACCAAAAAAGTTGTCCTCGGCAAGCTTTCTTCCCCCCCATGGGTATTCAGCAAGCTTCCCCAATAGGGGATTCCATAAATGGCTCCTACTACCTACCTACCAGCCACTTACAGCATAGGTTGTCCACCTTGAGACCTGCGCAAGCTAAAGCTTCAAAACCGCGAAAAAGAAACAAGGAAACAGCAACCACACCACCACCACTAGGTTCAGGCTAAGCCAAAAGCCTCTCAAACATAAGGTGGAGACGAGCAATTTCACGAGCCACCCCAGCCCAGCATGGCCCAGCGCCTAAAAGTCGATGCATCTGCCACCCTTCTCCCAGTCCCCGTATCTCGTCGGCTCGGGACCGCTAGGCCCTCCATGTTCCCCCACTGACTCAGGTGGGGGACGCTGCCTACGCCCGCCACTCACGGCGCTCGCCGCTTCCCCGCCGCCATCTGCGTCGGACGGTATCGGATCCTCTTCAGGCGCGCTCCGCGCTCTGTCCGGCGCGAGATCCGCCTCACGCCGCGCTAAAATCGGGTCGTCCTCCTCGTCGCCACTTTCGCAAGCGGCAAGCGGAGCGCTGCGTGCGCCGTCCGATCCTTCCGCCGGGGTGGCACTAGCGGGGTCAGCCGGCAGATGCTGCGGCGGAGAGGAGTCGATGCGCTGGCTGGCGGAGGAGAAGGCGGGCGCACGCGCTTGGATTGCGCCGAGCAGATCCGCGACTGCAAAAGACTCGACGCGGAACCGCGACGCTGCAGGGGTCAGGGCGGAAGGGGGGGACGCGAGATGGCGGGAAGTGCGTGCGGTGGGGACGCCGAGAAGCGCCGGCGCGCATGGCGGTGACTCTGCCGTTGCTCTCTCCGACAGCGTCGCGACGGCCGTTAAACATGTAGGCCTGGCGGAAGAGAGATTTGCGGCACGGTGCGGCAGGCATGCCGCGTGGGAAGGCGCGGGGAGGAACGACGCGAGCAGGCGCGCGCAACGTCTAGTGGCAGCCATGAGCGAGGTTCTAACGAGGGGTATCGCGAGAAGCTGAGAGGAAGAGCGTGGAATGGGCTCTCCCCAGGCATGTGGTCTTAATGGGACCAAGCGATCGGCTGGCTTCAGTTGAGTTACCTACGGCTCATTTTGGCGATCGATCCTCCGCAGGTTCGATTATTTGCGGGGTTAGAAAAGGTTCTAACAATTTCTGGGAGAAATACGAGGGCTTTCAGTGCGGTGGCGGATCGATCATAAAAAGGAGGGGGAGGTGATTCGTCCTCAGGAATTACCCTGTATGGGACGACTCGGGTAGGGTTAGTCCGACTACACCTTGATACTTTTGTTCTTGCTTGTGGAACAGACGTGTACGGCACAATCCTTATGGCAGCGACTCATATGAGGCCGTGCAAAAACAAAATGTAATAAATGCAGCCCACTCCTTACCATGGACAAAAATTTTGGGCTGAGAAAATCCCTTAGGATCGTTTTCAAGACTAAGGCTCAGAATAGTAATGTGTTAGCCGAAGCGTATTAGTGAGCTGGTTGAACCACCTTGCACTGGTATGTGAGAACAAGATAAGTTGATAATAGCAAAGAGATCCAGGGCTTTATATGATTACAAGGAAGATGAAAGGTTTAAGTAACTGTAACTGCTGTTGCGGCTCGATACAACGATGACTCGGGTAACTGTTCAATAGCGAGTCAGTTATGTGTCCTTGCTGTCGCGCTGCTTTTCGGCGAATCAAAGGTTGTTGACCTTTGACCTTCACTTAACCTCTTGTTGTCTTTCTGTCAACCGCTTTGGTTGACTCGCTGTTGCTTCGTTGTAGTTCGCTTCGCTTACATTGTAGTGTTCGACACATCAGAAGCGCGAACTATATGTTTCCAACACTCCCCTTCGCTTCTAGAGTGTCATCGCCTTCGTTGCTGGTGACGTGGCCTTGTCCAGTCAGCAGCATGAAGTACTCGAACTTCTGCTTTCCGAGTTTCTTGGTCAAGTAATCTGCTGCCATCTCGGACGTGGGGCAGTAGGATAGCTCGAGTCTCCCTTTCTCAATCTCGTCCTTCACGAATAAATAGCGCGGGGCAATGTGCTTCGTTCGGTTCGCGAACCTGTTCTTGTTCGCTATGCGAATTGCAGATTGGTTGTCGCAGAAGAGGGAGAAGCTAGGTAACTGGGCCAGCTTTGCTTCTTCCAGTAGTTCGCGAAGGTATAGTCCTTCCTTGGTGGCTGAGCAGAGTGCTATGTATTCAGCTTCAGCAGAGGAAAGAGCAATTAGTTCTTGCTTGCTCGACTGCCACAAGATAGGACCGACGGGCTCAAGTTGATAGATGTAGTCGGTGCGCGATCGCCTGTTGTCAGAATCGCATGCATGGTCAGCGTCCACGTAGCCCATTAGTTTTGGAGTTGTGGTTCCGGTCTTGTGGTAGGTTAGGCCGATCGTTGGTGTGCTGACGAGGTAGTGTAATGCGCGGTCGAGTTCCGCCATGTGCTCTGCTTCGGGCCGCTTGAGGTAGGTACCAAGTTGACTTGCTGAGTACGATAAGTCCGGTCGTCGGGTAACGGCTGCGAAGAGCAGGCATCCCAGTTTTCGCTGGTAGTCGCGTAGTTGGGCAGGTCCGAGCGGATTAGCCTTTTCCTGGTGATTTCCGGCGGTATAGCGGTAGGGCGTGAAGATGGCGGCGGGCGTTAATCCAAAGCGTTTGGCGATTGTGTCGGTGTATTTTACGGCGCTGAGGTAGATCGCGTTCTCTCCGTCGAGTATGTTGAGTCTCAAGTACTGGGTTACGGTGGAAGAAACCGTGAGTGAGAGATCCTGTTGCAGCTCCCCTTCAAACCTGGTGGTGATGTCGCCAGTCGAGCCTATGCAGAGCAGGTCGTCTACGTACACGATCAGCAGGATGTATGTACATTCCCTGGTCGTGTGGTAGTTGTTGAAAGCCGTTGCGGATTAATCGGGCGTGTAAGTACTGCTGCAACATTCGAAGAGCTTGCTTGATGCCGTACAGAGACTTCAGTAACTGACAAACTTGATTAGGGTCTGTGACGGAACCGTGCGGTTGTTCGACGAAAATTTATGCGTTGACGGGAGCGTAAAGGAAAGCGTTGGCCACGTCGATTTGGCGGAGTTTAGTTCGCTTCATGGCGGCTATCGCAAGAAGGATTCGCAAAGAGGTATGTCGGCTGACTGGCGCGAAAGTCTCGGTGAATTCTCGTCCATGCTCTTGGTCGAAGCCACGCACTGTTAGAATAAGGAACGGAATGAATGAACTAGGAAGCAAGTGGGCACAAGTAGGAAACCCAAAAGTGTTGTACCCTATAAGAACTACCCCACTACAGCCTAAACAGACTATAGCATATATAAGCTTGACACACCCCCATAGGCAAAGTGGGGGAGAACAAGAGGTCACAAGACCAGTCAAGAAGGCAAATCAAGCTCAGGGTGGATCACAAAGTCACCACCCAGTCTGAGCACAAGCAAAGGGCCACAAGGCCAGTTCACATGCAGAGTTATATAAAGGAAAGCAAACAATACAGTGAACACAACCTAGCAAGTGTAAGCATGCACGTATATGTATATAGAGTAAAGTACAAGCAGAGTCAAGAAGTCAGCAAGTGAGGCATAGTAGGTACAAGGCCTAGAACAGTACAGAAATGCTGATGATCACAAGGCTGAAGTGCCTTGGTGAAAACATCAGCAGTGTTGGCCTGTGAGGCCACGTAAGCAAGACGAAGCTGGCCACGCTGCTGCAACTCTCGAGCAAGGAAGTAGCGCAGAGCAATGTGCTTCGTTCTGTGCTCCAGTCTGTGCTCCTGACACAAGGCCAACATGGCCTTGTTGTCAACGTACAGAACTGGAGGAGAACGAGGCGCCTCTCCCAAGTCGGTCAGCAGGTAGGTGAGCCAGTGTAGCTCCTGTGCAGCCATGGCCCCAGCGTAGATCTCAGCCTCACAACTGGAGCTGAGAACAGAAGAAGACCGGGTAGACCGCCAAGAGACAGAACCGGAGTCAAGACTGAAGGTGTAACCCTGTGACGACCGCTGCGTAGCCAAGTCGTCAACCCAGGAGGCGTCAGCGTGACCAGTGAGGACAACTCGAGCCCGTCCTCCAAGCACGAGCCCCATGCCCGATGTACTGCACAAGTAGCGCAACACCCTCTTCGCAGCATCCCAATGCACCTTTCGGTGCCTACCGGGAGCCACGTAGCGAGCCAGAAGGCTGAGAGGGTATGCGAGGTCAGGTCGTGTGCAAGTCATCAGGTACATGAGGCAGCCCACAAGCTCTAGATACGGGCCACTCGGCTCTACGGACTCGTCCGAAGGTGGAGCTGAGAGCGAGTGACCGGTAGGCAGAGGAGTGGACTGTGGCGAGGAGTACGTGAAGCCAAAGCGCTGAAGGACCTGCTGCACCATGTGTGACTGAGTCAAGATAATGGTGCGCTGTGCTCTGTCCCGGGTGATCCGCAAGCCAAGATAGCTTGTCAGCTCCCCCAGGTCGGTGCACGTGTGTCTCTTCTGCAGCTCGAACTTCACGTGGGCGAGTGCCTCAGTGTCAGCAGTAGCAAAGACAAGGTCGTCTACGTACACGAGAACGTAGAACGGCGGCAGAGTGGTGTCAGTGCGTAGAAACAGAGAAGGGTCAGCAGTGGAAGGAGCAAAACCAAGAGTAACAAGAGTGGTCCTCAGAGTGTCGTGCCACTCACGGGGTGCCTGGTGGAGACCGTAGACTGGCCGGCGGAGGCTCCACTGGGTACCAGCAGGAAACGACCCAGTGAAGCCAGGTGGGCGGCGCAGCCAGATCTCCTCGTGCAGGCTGCCCTGTAGGAAGGCAGTGCTGAAGTCAAGCGAGTGGAGCTCGTAGTCACGCTGAGCAGCTACGTGCAGCAGTACCCGAAGAGTGGTCATCTTCGGGGTAGGGGAGAAGGTCTGGAAGAAGTCAACTCCCTGTCGCTGACTGAAGCCACGTGCAACGTAACGCGCCTTGAAGACAGGCGGAGAACCCGGCGGTCGCTTCACCCTGAAGATCCACATGCCACTGACGATGTTCGCCCCAGGTCGGGGAACCTCGTCGACGTAGGTGCCTGTGGACTTCCAGGAAGCCATCTCGGCGTCCATGGCTGCCTGCCACTGAGAGGAGTAGGGACCCTCTATCGCCTCTGCGTAAGAGCGTGGGGTCGGGATGTCTGGTGCATCCGGGTCTCCCTCAGGGGCAAGCAGCATGGACACGAGATGAGGTATAGCAGCGGCAAAGCACTCAAACTCCTCCTGTCTGTCCTCAAGAACGTCCGTGCCAAGAGCACACTCACCCCCGACGGACGGAGGACAGACAGACGCAGACGCAGGCTCAGCAACAAGACTAGTGGCGTAGTCTAGGCGACAGGCTGCAGCAAAGTCAACAAGCTCAGCAACAAGAGCAGACGCAGCGGTGGACTCAAACAGAGGGTCAGTGACAGCAGTGGCCAGGAAGCGCGTGACAGTAGGACTAGCAGCACGAAGGGAGTCAGAATCTGGGTCCGGACCGTCAGGAAGAGAGGACGCAGGAGGAGAGGGCAGAGGGACACGCTGTGGAGCAGTGGAAGGACGCAGAGTCATAGAGTGAGTGCCAGGGACAGGAGGAGGACGCGGACGCAAAACACGACCAGCGCGAGCAGTGCGGACAGGCGACGCAGCACGAGACACAGGCGACACAGGACGCGACTCAGGCTCACGACGCTCCGTAAGACCTCTAGTCGGTCCAGAGTAAGGAGAAGGACCAGGCAGTGGAGAGGACGGCGGTAACGGCGACTGTGACTGGACAGGCGGTGGACTCAGTAACGGAGGAGTAGGACCAGGAGAAGGCGGTAGACCAAGAACCTGCTGAAGGAGCGGAACGTAGTACGGCCGCGGCCGCGCAGCGCCTCGAGAAACAGGAGAGACAGCACCAGTACCCTCAGCTCCAGGGTCTCCAGTAACAACTTCCGCAGCACCACCAGCTCCAGTACCTGCAGCTTCAACGCCTGCAGCACCACCAGCCCCA